TATATTCCCTTCCTTCTTTCCTTTTCCCCTTTCCCTCATCCCAGTTGTTCCTTCCTTTCAGCAATTTCTATCCCTTTCATAATATCTATTATACATTTTGGGTTTTATTTACTCTTTCAGGTTCTCACACTAGGGAGATAATACAATGTTTACATACATGGGTCTGATTTATTTCACTTATGAGTATGGTCTCTAGTTGCATCCATTTACCTATAAAAGCCTTGAGTCTATCTTTTTTTATAGCTGAGTAATACTCCATTGTATAAAAATACCACAACTTTTTTATCCATTCCTCCATTGATGGGCATTTGGGTTGTTTCCAAGATTTAGCTATGACAAATTGTGCTGTTATAAACATGGGTACACATATATCACTGTGGTATAATGTTTTTAATTCTTCTGGGAAAATACTCAGAAGGGGACTAGCTGGGTTAAGTGGGACTTCTAATCCTAGTTTTGTAAGGACTCTCTAAACTGATTCCACAGTGGTTTCACCAATCTACACTTCCATCAGCAGTGGAGAAGAGTTCCTTTTCCCCCACAGCCTCTCCATCATTTGTTATTGGTTGATTTCTTGACGATAGTCATTCTTTCTAGGGAGAGATGGAATCTCAGTGTTTTAATTTGCATTTCCCAAATGACCAATGATGTTGAACATTTGTTCATATATTTATTTGCCATTAGTATTTCTTTATCTGAGAAGTGTGGGACCGCGGATATGGCTCAGTGGCACAGCACCTGCCTAGCAAGCACAAGGTCCTGAGTTCGAGTCCTAGTACCAAAAAAAAAAAAAAAGCCATTATCTGAGAAGTGTGTATTCATCTCAGATGCCCATTTTTGGATTGGGTTTTTGAATTTTGGGGGCCTGATTTTTTAAAATTCTTTATATGTTCTAGATAGAATCCTGGCCAACAAAGGAAAGGCAGGAGCCATCACAATCCCTGACTTGAAATTACACTACAAAGCTACTGTGATAAAATCAGCATGGTACTGGCAAAAGAACAGACTTGAAGATCAATGGAACAGATCAGAAGATGCAGACACAGCTACAAACACACTCAGCCACCTTATCTTTGACAAAGGAGCCAAACATGTTCCCTGGAAGAAAGATAGCTTCTTTAATAAATGGTGCTGGAAAAACTGGCTTTCCACATGCTGAAGACTAAAACTAGACCCATGTCTATCACCATGCACTAAACTAAAGGCAAAATGGATCAAAGATCTAAATATTAAAGCAGAAACATTAAATCTACTGGAAGAGAAAATAGGTAAAAATCTTGAAGACATAGGGGTAGGCAGAGAGTTCATGAAAAAAAATTGCATGGGAAATACTTCAAAGAATCAACAACTAGGATCTTATCTTATTAAAAAGTTTTTGCACATCAAAAGAAATTACAGAGTAAAAAAAAAAAAAAAAAACCCACGAACTGAGAAAAAATTTTAGCCAACTGTCCTTTGTTTTTCAACCCCTACCCCACAGTAATAATAAAATAATAACTTACTTTTTTCTGGGCCCCTGTTATGTGATAAGCACTTTACCTGCTTAATCTCATTTAATCTCCCCAACACACCCCCAACGAAGGTACCGGTAACATTATTCTTTGGTTTTTGCTGCACATGTTGTAGCAATGCTGGGCATCAGAACCAGACTGTGAGGATTATTCCTTTGTTTGTTTTTTCATTTGCTTGCTATGAGATAATCTTCTATAGGCCAGTCTTCTATAGGCTGGCCTTGAACTCGGTAGCCCGGGCTGCCCTAGGCTCTGCTTCAACCCCCCTCATGGGCTCATTAACCACCACCACCAGCACCCTGCCACCTTTTTTGGTACTGGGGATTGAACCCAGGCCCTTTGTGCTGACCTACATCCCCAACTCTTTTTTCTTTGGGCCAAGATTTGGCTAAATTCTAAAATCACTCAAGGGGGGCTCCAGCCTGTGCTCCTCCTGCCTCAGCCACCCAGAGAGCTAGGATTAGAGCGGGAAACCACACCTGGTTTGATTTTTTTTTTTTTTTTTTTTTTTTTTTTTTTTGTCTTTTTGTCTTTTTTGAGACAGGGTCTCGCTATGCGTTCAGGCTGGCCTTGACTGGTTTGACTTCTAAAGCAAGAGAACTGAGGTTTGGAGAGGTAATTAATTGGCCAAAGCCCTCATGTCTCATTTTAGTTTTTCCTTCGATCTCCTCCTTTTTCTCCCTATCCTACTTTATTTAGCCTACAACTCCCTAGCTCTCCATCTCTCTGGGAGCCTTTTCATTTTTCCCTAATGTAAGTGCCCCAGGCGCCTGTAGGCAGGCTTCCAGGCGAGCACTTCCCCTTTCCTTCTGCTGCTGGCTTTTAATTTTTGCCCCCGGGGCCGTAACCTGCTTTTTCACTCCGTGGCAGAGGCTCTTGGTGTCTTTTCCTCCACGATCAGACCCCGAGGTCAGTAGGTGCTGCCGCCCTCCCTCCCTCTGGTCTCCCTCCTCTTGGGCCCTCTGTTCTCCAAACTCCTCCGCTCTCTTTGACACCCCTTCTTGCTCATCTTCTCACACCTTTTTCTCTTTTCTCCTCCATTTCATTTCCCATGCGTCCATTTCTGCTTCTCTGGCCTTATCTTTATTATCATTTCTAAAAGCAATATATTATTCTGTCATAACTTTTTTAGTTTAGCGAAGTGACCGCAAGGTTCGTTCATTTATATTCAGCGCACTAGTGCCTCACAACGCCTTTCTTCAGACTAAGTCAGTCTGGGACGGTAGGGGCATGTGGCTGTTTGGTAGGTGCCTGAGCAAACTGCGGCAAGGACTAAGAATCCCCCGGAAAGGGGGCGTTGAGGGGCATAAAGTGCCAACGCAGAGGCCTGGTGGAGGTCCGGGGAGCGCAGATCCCCAGCCTCTCCAGCTTCCTGCCCTTCGCCCCCAGGCAGAGGCTCCAGCGCCCCTCAGCTGGGAGATGGTGACACCGGGGCTCCCCGCGCGCCTGCTGGCCCTGGCGCTCCTGCAGCTGCACGCACTGCGCGCAGGTCAGTGCCCTTCTTGCGCCCCCTCTTGTCCTGTGGGATGGAAACGTTCCGATAAAAGCAAATGTCTCCCTTGTGTTCCTGCTGGTGACCTTCTCCTGCCGGAGTCGCGAGGGTCCCCTGGGTTGTCCCGGAAAGGTCTCGGGGAGGGACCTACGCCGGCGGGGAGTCTGGCTTGTGCCCACCCCGACCCGCCCTTGGCCCGTCCTCCAGCTCGCTTCGACGTGATCGGGCCCATGGAGCCCGTGCTGGTCGCGGTGGGGAAGGATGCGGAGCTGCCCTGTCGTCTGTCGCCCAACGTGAGCGCCGAGCACATGGAGCTGCGCTGGTTCCGAGAGGCGCCCTCGCCGGCCGTGCTACTGCATCGGGACCCGCAGGGGCGCGCGAGCGAGCCGGCGCCCGAGTTCCGCGGGCGCGTAACGCTGGTGGCCGACGGCATGGCCCAGGGGCGCGCTGCCGCGCGGATCCACGCAGTCCGGGCTGCCGACGACGGCGACTACGGGTGTCTCTTCCGGGATGGCGCGAGCTCCGGGGAGGCCGCCGTGCACCTCCGAGTGGCCGGTGAGGAGGAGGGAGGGTTTTCGCTTTCTCCGCGGGGTCCCAGACTGGCTGTGTGGGTTACTTTGGAAACCATTTAAGATTCATCTTCGGGGCTGGGGATTTAGCTCAGTGGCACAGTACCTACCTGGCAAGCGCGAGGTCGTGAGTTCGATTCCTGCTACCGGAAAGGACAAAAAAAAGAGATTCACCTTCAGAATTCCTTTTAGGCTGAAGATAAGGGGGAAGGTTTGAGATGAGAAGGGTGAAAGCACAATGAAAATCTCTTTCTCGTGGAGCTTTATTTCAGTTATCTTCTCTCTCCCCTCAATGATAGGAAATTTCCCCTATGAAATTAATTACATGGATGATGCAGTACACCATAATTTACTCAATCAGCTCCCAGAATTCAGCACTTAAATTCTGTTTATTACTGAGGCTGTGCTGCGCACCGCGCTCATTTTGAGATTACTTTATGGTTAAGTCTCAAAGGACCAACTTCCTAAGATCAGAAAGCACAGGCATTTGTTAACATTCTTGATTCACCTAGAAATTCACCTGCTTTGATTGTTTTCTTGCTTAAAGACAAAACTTTAAAACAAATTTTTTTTTAAAAAAAAGACAAAACTTAGGGTGAAACCGGGAAAATGATTAGCATTCTGGAAGAAAGTACAAATTCAAGTTTGACTTTCCCACTTACTAGTGATTGGCATCAGGCAAATCTGTTGAGCCATAACTGGAAAACGTTTCTCTAGCAAGATTTTGCAAGAATGAAATAAAAAGCCAGGAGTAGTGGCTCACAACTGTAATCCCAGCACTGGGGAGGCTGAGGCAGGAGGATTGTTGCAAGTTCGAGGCCAGTCTGAACTACAAAGTGAGCTCAAGGCCAGCCTGCACTACATAGTGAAACCCTGTCTCAGAAAGAAAGAAAGAAAGAAAAAAAAAAAAAAAAAGAAAGAAAAGAAAAGAAAGAAAGAAAGAAACAAAATTAGACATTACATGAAAAACTGCCTGGTTGGTTCTGAAGGCATTTACATACATCTAAGATATTGTTACTGTGTCTTAGACTAATCTGAAATTTAAAATACACATATATACCATATTTAAAGTATCATCTACAACTCATTTTTTAGGGAAGATTAGCTTAAAGCTTAAAGATTGACTATAAAATCCTAGATATTTGACAGCATAAAACTTTATTACCTTTTAGGAGTGACAGACACTTTTGAGACTCTGATGGTAACGCCTTTAATGAGAAAGATATACATTCTCATTTATCTGTACAAACTTAGAGTATGGATAGTTATAGACATGTGTTTATGGACTTTTCTCTGCAATTCAGGGTTTTCCACAATTGTATTTTATTGTTATTATTTGGTACCGGGAATCAAACTCACAACCTTGTGCTTGCCAGGCAGGTGCTGTGCAGCTGAGCTATATCCCCAGCACCACAATTTTATAATTACAATTTTTTTAAAAAAGGAATTACACCCACCAGACAGAAAAAGCAGCTTTAGGTTGATATTTGGTATGGCATAATTAATTGTACGAGGGAAGATGAGGTTGAAACCATTTAAGAAAATTCCTAAATCAGCATCCTGGGAGAAGGATGCTTAAATTAGCAACAATTTCAGGGAAAAGAACTTTCAGCCCTCCTTTTTCTCAAGAATACTCCTTCTCCCTCCACCTTGAAATATTCTAATCCCCATTCTCCTTCCCAAAGCCACCTTTTATACATTCAACCACGGATCGCTTTCTCTATTCTGGAGCTCCCAGCCTAGACCTCCTTTTTTTTTCTTCTTTTTTGTAAGTTTTTTGCTTTTTTTTAAATTAGATTTTATTGGTACATTTTAGATATGCATAATGATCACATTCATCACAGAGAATTTGTACCTGTACATGATATAACTTGGGGTTTTTTCCCCATCCCCCATCCTCTCTTCAACAAAGCTTTGTTTCCATGTTTTCCTTCTTTTCTCATTTTTTTTTTAACTTTTCCTTTCTTTCCTTTCCCCCTCCCTCCTCCCTTATTCCCCTCCCCATCTGGACATTTTCTTCCTATTTCACAATACCTATTCTACATTTTGGTCCTAATTTACACTTTCAGTTTCTTACACCAGAGAGATGATGCATAATTTACATGTGTGCTTGATTTATTTCACTTAAGAGTATGGACTCACAGTGCATCCATTTCCCTAGAACTGTCTGAAGCCTACCCTTCTTCACCCAACCTAGACCTTTAATCTGCCTCTAAGTCATTATCTTGCTGTTCTTGCTGATGCGACAAGTGCTCTTATGGCTGCTCACACTTCAGAGGCTGATCCCAACAAGGCAACCCTCTCTGGTAAGGTGTATGGAGTTCCTTTCACTGAAACTTACTTAGTTTCCCTGTGTAATGAATTATGGAAAGAAATCTCTCCCAGTCCAAGTCTACTTTTGTATCCTCCACTCCCTCTCTCATTATAAGGCTTTCAGAAAGGTAACTACTGAAAGATCAAGGCCACCTTCTCTCTCTGCAGCACTGGGCTCTGACCCTCACATCAGTATGGAAGTTCAGGACAGTGGAGAGATCCGGCTGGAGTGCACCTCTGTGGGGTGGTACCCAGAACCCCAGGTGCAGTGGAGAACTCCCACAGGGGAGAAGTTTCTGTCCACATCAGAGTCCAGGAGTCCTGACCAAGAGGGTCTTTTCACCGTGGCCACTTCCGTGATCATCAGAGACACCTCCCTGGAGACTGTGTCCTGCTGCATCCGCAACCTGCTCCTTGGTCAGCAGAAGGAAGTAGGGATTTCCACATCAGGTTAGTGGGACAGGGCTGCCTCCCGTGCTGACGCAGCTACAGGACCACAGTATT